TTGTCCAGGACCTGATGAGGTAACATATAGGAATTGAGGTTTCTTTTACGACACATGGAAAACATTCTTAGAGCTTTCGTAGGAAATCAAGAAACACAGGATATTTGGTAACAAATTCAAACCTAACATCAGCTAGTTTCTGCGACAACTTTCGAAAGCGGCCCTTGGCAGTCTCGCCAGCGAGTGGTTGCTGTCGGTATGCGCTATCTCTCGGGCTTCTTCAAGATACCTGTGCTCAAGGCGTTTTGATTTTTGATGCTTTTAGGTGAAATCTGGAACCTGACAAGTGATATTAAGATACCAGTGAGTACCTTAACAAAAGTTTTTTATTTAAAAAATGCACTGCGCTTCTGGTACTTTCCTTTACCACTATAGATTGTTTTTATAATTTTAGATTCAGCGTGTAGACCGCGTGAATGTCTAGTGTTTGTTGCAAAAGCTTGTCCGTAGCAAATTGATTTCTGTTGCAAACTGACGTCTGTTGCAAAATGGTTTCTGCAAGAAAGTGGTGTCTTCGGCTGACCGATGTCCGTTGCAAATGGTTTTTGTTGCGAAGTGGAGTCTGTTGCAAAGCGGCGCCCGTTGCAATGTCGTTCCTTTTGCAAAATGGTGTCCGTTGCAATGTGGTTTTTGTTGCAAACTGGTATCTGTTGCAAAGTAGTGTCCGTTGCAAATGGTTTCCGTTGCGAAGTGGCGTCTGTTGCAAACTAGTTTCTGTTGCAAACTAGTGTCTGCTGCCAAATGGTTTCTGTTGGAAAGTGGCGTCTGTTGCTAAAAGGTGTCCGTTGCAAATGGTTTCTGTTGCGAAATGGAGTCTGTTGCGAACTGGTTTCTGTTGCAAACTGGTGTCTGTTGCATATGGTTTCTTCTGCGAGCAGATGTCTGTTGCGAAATGTCCTCTGAACAGAGTGGTTTCTACTGCAAAATGACGCCTGTTGCAATGCGGTTTTGTTACACAGTGGTATCTGTTGCAAAATGGTGTCCGTCACAAATGGTTTCAGTTGTGAAGTGGTGTCCTTCGCTGACCAGTGTCCGTTACAAATGGTTTCTGTTGCGCAGTGGAGTCTGTTGCAAAGCGGTGCCCGTTGCAATAAGGTAGTAAAGTAGCGTTTGTGTTGTGAAGTAGCGTCTGTTGCAAACTGGTTTCTGTTGCAAACTGGTGTCTGCTGCCAAATGGTTTCTCTTGAAAAGTGGCGTTGTTAAGAGGTGTCCATTGCAAATGGTTTCTGTTGCGAAGTGGAGTCTTTTGCAAAGCAGTGCC